AGAGAACAATTGTTATTTGAGTTGCTTTTAATACCGATGTCTTCCACCAGCGAATATTACAATGGCAACGGAGCTGTTTGGCGAGGAGTATATGAAAAATGGTGCCAGCTATTTGAGGATCAAAGACATAAAGGTCAAGTATGACCTGGAGAATGTGCACATGCAGCTGGATAATCTCTTCAATGGCGACAAGGCGCTGGGCCAGCGCATGAATGATTTCCTCAATGAGAACTGGAAATCACTCTCCGATGAGGTGCGTCCGTTGATGATCAAGGCCCTGGTGGATATCCTGCGCGCCTCCATCGACAAATTGTTCGAAGCGTTCAGCTACGACGAACTGTTGCCCACAATGAAACAGTGAGCAGTAAACTCAAAGTTTAAATAAACTATAGATTTAATCATAGGTAGGTAGTAAAAACACTAAACTACAAGTAGCAACAAACATGAATGAAAAATAAATTATATTTATAACAAAATCCCCTAAACTCACTTGTGGCTCCTGCTCTCAGAGCAGCCACAGCTTGGTGGGCATCTTGGAGAACACATTGTTCCAAAGGCCATGAAAAATATCGGCTAGCCCCAGCTCTAAATCAGGTCGCAGCTCTGCTATGACCTCGTTACCGTTCTGATTGAGGAACGCATTGATGGACGCGGCCAAAATCTCGTTGCCGTTGAACAGATTCTTTAAATGAATGCGCATGGCGCCCACCTGAAAGTTCACTTTCATCTCATCGATATGTATTATCTCATCCCCAGTTACTGTCTCATTGTGGAGCGAGATCTTTGTATAGACGGCTGTATGGACATTCTTCAGTGCCATGGCTACATCTCCGCTGCCAACCAGAGGCAACAGCAGTATGTTACCCTTTAGATTGTATTTGGCTATTATGCGCAGGCGAGGCAGCTCCAGCTCAAAATTCAGCTGTCGTCGCGCCAGGTCCAAACTAACAAAAATATAATTATTGGCATCAAATCATTGCCAACTGGATACGACCTTGCATCTACTCACCTTGCACGCCGGACTGTCGCATTTGAGGGTCCACGTATGACAAGATTTTGAAAGCCGCCGGAGAGAACCAAATTTCCGCTGCCCTTCGAAACGGACACCTGATCAATGTTCAGCGGTTCGAAGCTCTTCACACCAATCTCTGGTATGCCAGCGGCCAGTGCAGGAAAGCAGCCCTCAAACAATTGGCGGAAGCATTTGTTCTCATTGGGATTGGCACGCTTGCAGGTTTGTAACCACGGTGCTACGCAAAAGAATTCGAAAATATTTTAACATTTTAATAATGTTAATATAAAATTAAAATATTCAATTTAAAGGGCATTCACGATGTGTGCTTTTCTAGATATATAAAGTAACAAAAAAATTCATTGACAATTTTCTTTACACACGAATCAGCCTCGACCCATACATTCAAATTTATGCTAAATTTGCTAACTTTCGCGCTGCCAGATTTTTGAAAAAAAGAGTTCAGGCAGTTCACTCATTTAGCGAAAACGTCTAAAAAGTTAGCAAAGTTTGCAAATTAAAAGCGAAACCTTCTTATTAATGCATTAATGGTTATGCTTACTCTACAAAATTACAAATATGTTGAATTAATACATGTAATAAAATAATCAATATAATAACAAAAACATAATCACTTTATCTATAAACACAGATTATAAAACTATATAGAAAAACGTAAACGGTTTGTTTAATTTTGGTATGTAAGTTTTTGTATATTTCGATATTTTGTATAGATTTTTGTAGGTACTCGCATTAGATCCAGTTATCAGTTTGTTCACCTTCTTCAAGCTCCACACCACTTACAGTTGCACTTAAAAGTATTTTGGTCATTCGCACTTCCGGCCTCGCACTCAACAAGTCTTTTTATAAGTTGGTTCAGAGACCACAAAATATCAGAGGGACGGTAACTTCCGCCAATTTAACACTTTTTTTTCAACTCAATTTAAACTTTGTTATGTTTAAGTTTAGTCTGGTATCGATTTAATTCCCTATATTTATTTATTTATTTTCTATTTTCCAATACTCACGTCTCTCCTGCAGTGGGGGCTTATCGTTTACAATTTCCCGGGTATAGGCAGTTGCACTTGCTATTAGATAAATGATACCGATAACACATAAGTTCCAGTTTTCTGTACGAAACATGCTTAACCACAAAATTATCCTGGCTGAAATAGCTTGCTTTATTTCTTAAATCAGCGTTTCAAAATCTATTTTTGAAAACTTGTCCGTTGTCAGCGTCCGTTGTCGGCAACGTTTCAAACCGAATTGCTGCGGCTGCCATGTGAAATGTTGTACGAAACCATAACATTAGTTTTGTGTGTAGTGTGTGGCTGTTGTGTGGCCAGCAGCGACCACTTTTTGTACACTTTTTGTTTACATTTGCACTTGTACTAGAGATTCCGCAACCCGCGGCTGCAGCAGCCCAAAACGGAATCCAAACTCGAACTGTATGTTCATACACCCGTTTACACCCGCTCCCAACTGACCGCTGGAATCGTGGACGGTTGGGAGAAATGTCGCTAAATTGCTGTGATACCCTACAGTTGTTTGGGTAGCCTGATAGCCATATAAAGCTACTGCTATTGATTCAAAGTAGCCAACATAAAAATTATATATACTCGTTTATTTGTTTATTATTTAGTATTTGATATATTTATAGCGAGGAATTGTTTATGTTATGCTAGAAGAGAAGTTTTATATTACAATATGAATATGCAAGTGTGCATAGCATATTTTTAAATTATTTGATCTCTTTAGATGATTTGTCTTAGAGATAATAATAATAATAACAATAAAATAATAATAATAATAATTAAATATAACAATAATAATTATAATAAATGAAAATCCTTTTGCCGTCTTGATTATTAGTTTATTTTCAAAGTGATTTAAAGTTTCTTAGAAGATCTCACATTTTGTTAAAGATCTATACCTCTGCATAAGCGTAAAATATCAGATTTAGTTTAATTACTCCCTTTTAGATTTAATGTTAGTATTTTAATTTAAATGTAGCGCACTCAACTTAAGCCACCATCATATTCGCTTTTAATCAACCAATTGTTGTTTTAATATTTGGATTTTTATTTTGTTTTGAATTGTACTTTCGTTCATTGCGTATACGCCACCAACTTGTTTTTTTCTGTCTTCATTGCGCCACACGAGACCTCCCGCCCGCCCGCTGCTGTGGCCGTGCCCCGCTACTGCCCCCGCGCCAGCTCCACTGAAGTTGTTCACCTGCTACTGACTACTTCTGGTATTACGCAGACAGCGCCACAGTAAGGGGGGACTCATTCGACGTCACACACTGTGCTTGCCGCTTCACTGTCATGGGTGATGCTTTGGTTTGGCTTGGGCTCGGTTGTGATTTGGCTTTGGCTTGGTTTGTTTCGTGCTTCATTGGCTCTACGGCGGCCTCCGCGGCCGGTTGCAAGTCTTTTGTTATGCAGTCACTTAAATTAACATTGTGCCCGATTATTTTGCTTTATCTTTGCCGATGCTTAAGATAAAATGTTGGCGTTTAAAAAAACATTAATATGCACGGCTCAGGCGTGTGATTGTGTGTGCGTCATTTCCACTCATTTCATTGTTGCATGTTCAGAGCCAGACCCCTTGGCAAGGTTGCGATTGCGACAATAGACAAGTAGCTTTTTCTTTCCCAAACATTCACCATTATGTCAACATCTCTTCTTTGCTCTCTAAATGCTCCATCGCGTGCGGAAATTACCAAATTAGCCGACTGTTGTAACAATTTTTGTAGTATATTTTTTTAAGTTTTGTGTCCAGCCTCCGTTGCGTTATCGCTGAAGATTATGGTCGCTTCCTCACCATCATCCAAAGTGTCATTACAGGCACGTGGGCGGGCATTTATATAAAACAAAAAAGGGTTTCCCGTTTATTGCGTAACATTTATTTTAATATATTTACAAGTCCGTCCGTTGTTTATTTTTATTCATTTTTATTACGTTCCAATTGTGTCTTGTCGAATATTTTTATTGTAATGCATTTCGCAGCTGCATAGATATTGTTTTTATGTCCAATTTATTTTGCTTTCAAGTGAAGTAATTGTTCGATTTACCATTTTTCTTTGCAATGTGTTACTTACGTTTTTATATATCTACAAACAAAATAACAAACATTTAAGAAAGCCCAAGCAGACTGCTGTATATATGTAAATAGCGAAAACACATGCTTGCCTCGTATTGCGTCTTGGGTTCAATAGCTTCGGTTGGGCCCAATTTAATTAGATATTTATATGCAGTGAAGGTGACATGAATGGACGTTATAATACCGAACGCCTTATCGTGGGTGCCAAAATGCGACATTGACCGATTAAAGTGCCAGCACATATATTGTGAAAGGTCCATTAAATAATTTAACTACAATTTGTGAGAATTTCAAGTAGTTATATTAAAATGATTGAATGCAATTTAAATTCCTCCTACCTATCTACGTCCATCAAAAATAAATGACAGTTACAGCTGCAGTACAAGGTATCTAATTTATACGGCATCAACCATTCGGTATCAGATACAAGTTTTAAGTTAACACACCAAATAAATTAAAAAAATAATATCATACAGTTTTGTATTTCGCCATATAAGTATAAGCATATTTTTTGAAGAACATTCATTTTAGTTTAGTTTAAAATTATTTTTCTCAAAATATTAATTTTGTTTTTTGAAGACTTTTGATGAACTACCTCTGAATAGATTTTAAAAGTATTGAACCGATGATTGAATAGTGGAAAGTGTTTAAAATATCTGGAAAACATGATTTTACCGAAATTTTAATTGAAACATTTGAAGTACAGCAAATTTATATAGCAAGCTTTAAAGAGCGCATAATATTTTTATGTTTTTCTTTGTAGCATACCTTTTGGCGCCCACTAAAATATATGTCTTATTGTAACCCAATCAAAACATATCGTAGTAGTTTTCGTAGCGAATGAAAATATTTCTAATCGTGTGTATCTTTGAAATTAATATTATTTATTTAAATGGTAATATTCATGGACTTATAAGATATTCTACTAAAATATGGCTAAATGATCTATGATTGGGTGCGCATTGTATTTGACATGGATGATTTATGCTAGTTAGAGAAAGAGGTTAATGCAAACACTTTACACATTGGTGTATAAAACTAAACCTTAGACTAACTGGAGACTTACGTAGTGGTTAAGGGAAACGGAACAAGGCGATAAACAAATATTTGTACAAAACTTTCGTGCAGTTATTTACAAGCCATAAAAATCTAATTGCAACTTATGTAAAACTAATTCAAAAGTCTTTTCAATACCATTCCAACGAGGCTCCAACGAAGGTGTCTGTAGTACGCTGTGTGTGTTGTGGAGAAGAGATCACAGTGCCCGCCGTCACCGCCGCCGCCGCCGCTCAGGATGTCGCCATCAGCTTGGCGGCCTGGATGACATTGTGCTGATGATGGTACCCGGCCAGATCGCCGGTCGCCCCACCAGCCATTGCCGACGAGGCGGCTCCGCCCAGGGCCCCAAATGAGGCCCCAAAATAGCAGTTGTTCACATAGTCATAATTGGTGGCAGTCGCCTCCGTTTTGACACCATATGCCGCGGCAGCTGCGGCCGCGTGTATGTGGTGATGAGCCGCCGCTGCATGGTGTCCATGCGAGCTGCTCGCCGCGGCGGCGGCGTGCAAATGATGGTGTTGATAGTGAGGCGAGGGCGTGCCGTTGCTTAGTGTGGGCGTGTCTGCGGCATTGCTGCTGTGCGTCGTGTACGCGGAGGCCGCGGAGCTGCTGCTGGGCGTGTACAGCTGCGAGCCGGCTCCATGCAACTGCCTGGCACTCAGCTGGGATTGGTGGCTGAGGTGTTGGTGCTGCGACTGCTGCTGTTGCTGCTGTTGTTGCTGCTGGTGCTGCTGGTGCTGCTGGGCGTAGTGTGGAAAGCATTGCTGATGTGACGGTGCCGACTGCTGCTGCGGCTGCTGGCTGTGATGCTGCCCCATTAGGCTGCTGACCGCACTGCCGGCCAGCGAGCTCTTCAGATCCGTATGCAACTTGTTGAGACTGTGTCGTTCCAGGCTAAGCGTGGGCTTGAGATCTGCAAGGTAGAGAGAGAAAACCACCATCAGAAATGCAAAACTTTAAGAAATAAGTAAAGGGGAGAAAATGTTATATATGGTTTTCCAGCTATAAGTTTAAGGCTACAACTGATTATATTTTACCGAACCGGTTTTAGCCGGGAATTACATTGCGTTGAACCAACAATTAAATCAAATCATTTTCCCAAACAAACAATCCGAGCTTTACCCCAAGTTGGACTAGTGATGTGTTTATGTATGTATTTGAATATGTGTATGTGTATGTGTGTATGCATATAAGTATATTTCGCTATCAAAATCCTGCTTTTTGATCAAATCTTTTAGTATTAAGGGCTTGAGTCACAAAATTTAATATGTAGCTTCTATAATAACATAAGCAGATCAATTATCTTACATTTTATAGCTACCGCCACCCATCAAAATGCGTGTCTTTTTATACCCTTGCAGAGAGTATTATAATTTTGCAGTTAAATGTGTAACGCATAGAAGGTATCAACAGCCGAGTCGATATAGCCATGTCCGCCTTAAAGCTATAGTCATGAAACTTTGCAGAAATATTTCTTCCGCTGCACGCAGTACATATGTCAGAATCGGCTGGATTTGACCAGTATATCATATAGCTGTCATAGGAACGATTGGTCAAAAAGTTGGTTCTTATATGAAAAACTTTTTTGTTTATCAAGATATCATGACCAAACTCGGTATTTATTAGTTTTACTATGCTTCTCATATATATGCAAAATCCTTAAAACATCGGACCCTATATCATACAGCTGCCATAGGAAAGATCGACGAAAATTAGTTTTTTATATGGAAAACTTTTATGTTTTTCAAGATATCTTGACCAAACTCGCCATTTATAAGTTTCACTATGTTCCCTACATTTATGCAAAATCTTATTTACATCGGACCACTATATCATATAGTTTCCATAGGAACGATCGCTCTAAAATGAAAAATTTTGTATTTTTCATGATTCCTTAACCAAACTCGGCATTAACTATTTTCTCTGTGCTTCTTAGATACCCGCAAAGCACTATGAGCATTTTGAAAATGTTGGTTCTGCAAGGGTATTAAATCTTCGGCGTGCCGAAGATAGCCCTTCTTACTCGTTTTAATTCTATAAAGATAATTCCAATTGCGACTGTATTGTATGCTGTGCTATTTTTGTTCCGTTTTTTCGTTTATGTTCAGGTGTTGTTACGATTGTCAAGTATGAGGCAATGGAAAGTAGTTCGGTCAGTTGAAGGTAGCTAAACTGACTGCATTTGTGTTGGTAGAGAAAGGTAGCGGTTACCCCCAGTCGGGCACTCTTGTTTTAATATCGTCCTAATATCCGATTCTCATGAATTCAAGTAGGACTTACAGGATTTAATTCTCAGATAATATTATATTAACTAGTTGTGTTGCCAATCTATTAAGCTTTTTATTCATTCATTTATCACGCATTCATTCATTCATTATAATTTCTTTTCTTGCACTTTAACTCCCCCTCTCTTCTCTCTACTTCTTTTGTTCTTTTCATAATGTGTATGTATAAAAGTCTATGAAATTGATCAATTATAAGATGTGGTTTTAAAAGTAGAATCTTAGCCTTTAGAACCAAAACTGATGGCAAGGTTCGAGACATGTACCGGAGCCATTGCACTTATCTAGAATATATACATCTTGTATATACTCACATAAATTTGAACAACTACGAAATAACTATTTTGTTTTACACGTTTTGAATCTGTAAAGGGTATGTACAAAGTAATACACTATTCAGCTTGCTTACCATGCTCTTCCTTGCACTCCTTGATGGCCTCCGTGGTAGAGCTCGATCCCGAACCAGTTCCCGCTGTGGAGCCGCTGCCTGTTTTCTTGGGCTTTCGCTTGCGCGTCTGGATGCCATCCTTGCGCATGGCCAGTGGCCGATTGACGCCGTGCAACTTGAAGTAGAGGCCACAGGCATTGCACACTGGCTCCCCATCGTTGTTGCGTCTCCAGAGCGTGGTGGTGCGAGTGCCACAGTTCGTACAGCACAAGCCTAGGCGACGCGTGGCGGTCTGTGGGTAACAAGCCGGAGATGAGTATGGATATGGATAATCACTGGAGTTGTGGCTACTCACTGCACTCACCAGTCGCTTGCTGGGCTTTATCAACGGCCGGTTCATGCCGTTCATCTTGTGATACAGTCCGCAAGCGTTGCAGAGATAGTGGCCGGTGCCGTCGCGTCGCCAAAGCGGCGTGGAGATGGCACCACAGTTGACGCATTCGCGCCCCTCGCCGAACTGAAACTCCATGGCGCTCTCATAGGGGGAGGAGCGCTGAAAGCCAGTTGGATCGTAAGCGCTGCGCCAGGGCGCCATCATGACCGCTGCGTTCTGTGTATAGAACTGCGCCGGCAGCTGCGCATGCGCCGATCCAAAGCTATCCGTTGACCAGGCATTCTGTGCAGCTGCGGCACTACCGAAATGTGCCGCCACGTGGTTATATTGGCGATTGGAGGGCACATAGACGGGCGCATTGACCGCCTGCTGATGATGATAACCGGAGACGCTGGCAGCGCCCCCGGCAGCGGCCAAATCTGTGTAGGCGGCCGCTGCAGCGGCGCTGCTGCTGTGATACATCTTGGAACTGGCAGCGACGGCGGCGACCTGTAGCTGCACGTTGTGATAGTCGCCGCTCAACTGCGGATAGTCACGCGTTGACTGCTGATCCGAGGTCGACTGCAAAGCAGATGACAAGAAAATGCAACATATTAGGCAAAAATAACAACTGCTTCTCTCTCCTCTCTGTCTTTCTCTGTCTATCCCTCTGCTGCCTGGCAACGGGCTTTTTCTCTATCTCACTGCCACTCCCTCGCTCTTTGTGCGCCTTGCTCTTCGATCTGCCAGGTGCTGCCATTGGACGACACGCCCTTGCGAGAAGCCATTTTGGTTGCTGCCTCTTGCTGCAGTTATTTGGATCTGCTGGGCCCCCTCACCATACACACACACACACACACTACCTCTCTTTCTCTCTCTCTCGTTCTCTCTCTTTGTGAGCAGAACTCGTTTGTTTCAACGGCGCCCTTTTATTCCATCTCAAATGAATGGCGCGCTGCATCTTCTGTGACTCGTCTCTATATCTTTGTGCATTTCCAGCACTTACAAATGAGTTTCTCCTGGATGCCGTGCGTAGGCTTCCCTCTGTCGCTCCACAGCTTTGCACTTTCGTGTATAGTCTATACGTACGTGGGCTTTGGAAGTAATTTCCTTAATGATGGCCATAAGTATTATATGGGTCGCATTATTAGTCATAATTGTATTGGTAGATAATCTTATTTAAGGGTGTCTTGATTTTATATATGTGCTTTCTGTTCAGAGACTGGAAGTCTGAAGACAATAGGAGTTTACCGCAGCAAGTGTTTTTTTTATTAGTGGTAAGTGTAAGAAAGAAGTCTATTCTTAGAATTTTTATTACTATATCGTCTGGCTATAAACTTATAAATACCACTGGCTGACCTTCAGCAAATCCATAACGTAAGCTTGAGATTCGAACTGCGATTCTTGCCTGAAGTGTATTCGTTTTCATTTTGGACCTGCACACTTTCAGATATTTCGTACACAACGCACAAATTCGTGTCCAGCTTTTAAGCATCTCGATTTTCATTTCAAATTCGAAACAATAAAACAAAATGTGTTTTTTAATATTTTTATTTGCATCTAAAAAACAACGTTTTGCGTTTCGTCTTCACCTCTTCAGTTCCATTATGTTTCTTCACATTTGTATAGCTTTTATTAATCTCTTTTGTCCACTACAAACAAATTGTTCATTCAACATTTTTGCACCAAATGAAAAGCCTTCAAGTGCCGTAGTCTGATTTTCAATACGTTTTCCGCTTTTTGTTTTTTGTTGTTGCAGTTTCTTTACAAAAGGTTCAATAACCAAAAGCAACGTAGAAATCTGTTTTTCACATCAATCTCAATTAAGGCGCCAATTGCATATTTTTTTTTTATTTATTTATTTCGTTTATTCGCATCTGTATATTCAAATGTGTATCTTACAGAGTTTGTGCTTACAATCACAAAATCCATTTGACGTCTTTATCTTATCCCAGAAATTTAATGCGATGATGTATGAACTTTTTAATTTCTGCTCATCTTTTCAAACGCAGCCGATTTCTCTCGCATACGTTAATATTCCACAATTTGGACAAAACAGATGGCTGCTGGATTGAGTAGTGGGAAATTCGAACGATTTACTTTACCTAGTAAATGTTTAATAATTTTTAGGAAAATCTCAATTTGGCCTTTTAGCACTTACATCTGTACGTAAGAATGTGAGGCATGAGACATGAATGTGAGAATTGAGTAATATTTGTTGTTAAAAAGAAGAATTTCAGGACAATCTTTTTAGCCGACGGCAAAGTGTATTTTTTCCATAAATTAATTTGTATTTTATATTTTTACAAGAGTCTTCTTGTGAATAAGCAATATTTACAAAAGCAAAAAAAAAATTTGCGAAATTCAAAACTTCTTATTCTGTTTTATGCACGAATTCTGAAACTTGGGTGTGAAATGTATTTAAGAAAGTTTGAAAGCTCGAATCTATTAAGGGTAAAACTTCTGAATTGAAATTTAAATAATGCAGGAGTGTCAATATTTATGTAAATCATTTTTAATATTTGATTACTAAATTATTTCTATTTATTTAACATGGGCAAAGAAAGCTGTTTGCAACAGATTCTCCCATTAGCAACAAGATCAATTGACGCACATTTTAACACAATTCTCGAAACGCCAAAGAAATGTGCAGCGTTCCACAAACGCATGTGATGAAAGGGGAAGAGAACAACAATTCCAGCCATCAAAGAGTTGACCACGCGTGCATAATGACGTCGCTCCCTTTAGAAGATCAGTCGATCAAAGAGAGCGCCGGCCGTTGCCAGAGCACGGAGCGGTGTCGGATCAAAGGAGCGGCGACCACACGAAAAATTGTCAACATGTTGCTGCCCTGAGTATGGGAGCAGGGGTGTGAGGTGGATGCGTTTGGCCCAGCCAGGATCGAGATCGGCATGGAATCAGTTCGGGATCGCAGGCACTTCGAAGTGACTGCAGAGGCGCTTTGGCGCTTATTAAAAAGCGAGCCCAACAAAATAAAGGGCTAAGCCAAACTCAATGCCGTCGAAGTAGAAGGTGAAGAAGAAGGCGGGAAATTAAAATAAAGAGCAATAAAAAATCAATTTAATAAAAATGAGGCACAGATCGGGAACTCAACTAGCGATCATCAGCAGGTCGAGATGCTGATGGGGACGATGAGTTGAACGTTAATAATTTGTCACTGCAAATGAAGGAATAAAAACAAACAGAGAAAACCACTTGAGCGGCAGCCAAGTGAAGGAATAAAACCAAAAACCAACAAAAAAAAAACAAAAAAAAAAAAACAAACAAGGCAACAGCGAGGAGGGCATCGAGAACACTTAGGATTAAAGCGGCGCTTTAAGTGGTTTTTTATAAGTCTCTCGGCTAAGGCCGTTCAAACCGGGTGCGCTCACTCACCCGGCCAGCGCCAGGTCTATGTTCAGAGGATCCTGTTTTAGGCACTCCTCTCTTCCCCCCACTTGAGCTGCTCACACTTGACTCATTCATGGATGGATCGTTGCGGCGGGAATTGCACTTCTCTTCATAGTTCTAACTAGCGGATGTCATCCAACGACTATAGAGTTTAGTTTTCCTGTAAACAACTGTGTTGGCTTATTTGCATAGAGACATTAGATACGATAAGTTTAAGCTGCAGGGAAAGCCAGACTTGATCGACAGAAATACTATTAATTTGGCAGAAACACTTAAAGTAATAAAAGAAATACTTTCAATTTCATATAAAAACCTTAAAACCAGAGGAAAGAACGAACGACTGCTTTTGGATCCTATAAAATGGCTAAGTCTAAAAAAGTGCCATAAGAAATAAATTGTTGTATATGTCTTTTTAGCAAAATCAAATTTAAGATGATATTCTAGGGAAACAATATAGGAATTGTTGGTCTTGGTGTCTGTTATTACGAGCTTACTGGACTTTTTGAATGGTACGCTGGGAAAGAGCGGGAAATATAGATGATAAGGAGGAATTTTAAGAATGAATGAAAAAGGTAAGACGTACTATTTATGAATGCCTTAATTTGTATAAGCCTTTCTCTGAATAAAATGCGCTTTATAATATTTGGAATATGAATAATATGTCTCATGAATATGTTTGAGCAATTTGGAAAACCTAATAGTTTCGTACATTTAATTTGCTCGAATACTCACGACTAAATCGAGGAGTTAAAATACAAATTTAAACAAATTATGATTTATTGTAGGGAAATAAAAAATGTATCGGATTATGCAAATGTTTAATGATAAAAGCTCAACTTACATCGCCATCACTTAGCAAAATGCCCATAATTTATTGATTTGATTATTTTGTACGGCTTTCTGTTTGGCAGCTTGTTTAAGGATTGATTAATCGTAACGCGGAATTTAAGTTCAAATTGTCACAACACAAATATATCACAGAAATGCAAAAATACGATATTAATTGCAACTGACTTGAAATTGTTCAAATTTGGCTGCATTTGTTATTATTCTTATTGCTCGATCGATTGGATTGAGCATTTAATGGGCTTTGTTGTAAGCCTTTCGATTAATGCGGCTAATAAAGCAATAAATATTCGTATTAATCCAGTTACGAGCACTTAACAGATTTGAGTTATTATGGCTTTTGTTGTTATTGTCTTTGTTGTTATTGTTGTTGCTGTGGATCGCGGGCACAACGAACCGACTTCCTTGAGGCGTACAAACAAACTAAAAAACCGCCTCAAAGTAAACAAAAACTTAATCCCAAAAATCCAGTTTCAGTTCGGCGCAGCCGACGGTGACGGCGACAGCGGCAGCGACGTCAACTTCTGCAGCGGCCGAGAGCAGCGCCACGCAAAATCGAAGAGAAGTCAACGGCAACCAACATAAAAAGTCAATTTCATCAATGGGCAGGCAACGCACTCCGTCCCTCCGTCCTTCTGTCCCGCCGGCCACTCGTTGCCTCCGCGTGTCACTTGCAGGCGTCGACTTCACACAAGACTCCGCGTGCAAGCGAGATGGAGACGACGCACAAGACTCCAGAGCGAGATAGAGATGCCGTTGGCTGAGTGACAGGTAAAAATTTGTAGGTGCATTTCAAATGCAGCAACTGCGACGCCGACTGCGCTGCCGCGGCGCCGAAACTGCGACTGCGATTGAAACACACGAAATTAGTCAATTTCATGTAAGTCTTCGAAAATAATGGCCCGCACTTGAAACCGAAACAGGTTCCAGATCGAGCTACTTGCTCCTAGAACAGTAGACACTCGAGTGCTTCAGTCTGTGTGAAAGTAATCCGCCTGCCGAGATCGAAACCCGACCGGGCTTAGCTGCGCTCACCTTCCGTCTGTGGTGTCACCAGCTCGTTTCCCTGTAGCCGTGTGTAGCTGGGCGTGTGCAAGTGCCCAAACACTGTCCTTATAGGAAAGTGGCCATGACAAAGATCGAAGGATCGCAGAGAAAGATTTAATTAATTGACGCCCGTGTGTTTGTATTGCTCCTAATGAGGGTCTATTTATTGTTATGTCCCTTATTGCAAAGTAGAAAGGGACATGAGGAGAGTAAGGGGTAACTAAGGAGAAGTGCTTCTTGCTAATTTTCAGAAATATGTCTCTGAAAATGATATATGTATATGTCCATTTAAAAGGTAGAAAATGAAAAAAAGCTATGTGTGATATTTAGAGAGATTGTGAATGAATTGAGTGCGGCTCATTAAAAAAAAACGAATGCCTAATAATAGCAAGTAATAGTAATACACTGGCAGAATAAAACTGTTTCATGATGAAATAAAATAAATAAGAAAAAATAAGCCAATACCTGTTTATCAAAGCTAATTTCACACCAATCTCTAACTATTGAAACAAATAGTTAAAAGAAACGACTTAAATGTACTTATCTATTAGCCAAAACATAATCAAAGTGTCGTTGTAGATAATTAAAAACGGCTTGACAAAAAAAACTAAAATCACAAAAGGAAATTCTTTAAAAGTGTGTAGCTTCGTTTTAGGGCTTAGAGCGGGCCAGGTTTTTTTTTATAATTGTCCGAACGGCCCGAGCTTATTTGTTAAGTGCATGTTTCGATCTATTTCCAAATATTAACCAAATATTCAAAATTGGGGATTGGTATCGCAAAGCATATACAAATGGAATGATAGAAGTCAATGGAGCTACATAAAAGCTACCTATGATTTCAGCATCATTTCATATTTTAAAATCATAAAATGGTTATTTCCTTCCACAAAAAGTTAAGACCGCCTTCCGCTTGTACAAAAATGTTCAAGTTTCATTTAACAATAATTTAGTTTTTATCGAATCGGCTTTCAATCGCAACAAATATTTTATGAAAAAAGATTTCGAATTTGCTCGTGTTGGATATTGGCTTCTATAAGCCACTTATTCACTGACACTCATATATCTAACAGATAGCCACAAGTGGGCCAAATACCACTCACAACATTCCCGAAACCCATGGCGTGGATCATTAATCAGACGATTTGCCTTAGTTTCTGGCCATCGAAAATCACATAATTCACCCATCAAAAAGGTTCGTTGCCTGTTGGCAATCTTCCGCCCCGGCTGGATGGTGAACAAATTCTTTTCATTATAATGCAAAAAGCGAGCAGAGTGAGTGAAAAGTGAGGCAAGTCAAATCGGAGAGAGAGGGAGAGAGAGAGGTCGAGTCTCTGGCCAAGCAGAAGGTACGAAAAATGTCAAAACAAAAAACCGCAAGCCAGACAAGCGCATATTTCAATCGACGCTGACACATCCTGCTGCGCTAATGGACCTTAATTTGTGAACAGCTTTATATATCATGCGCCTGGCCGTTAATGTGATCATCCACACGATCTTGTTGACGATGCCCAGCCACCATACGAGGCTGGAACTGTTGCGGTGATTAAGTTTTATGACGTTTATCAGGCGCATACGCTGAAGGAAAGGCACGCGCTTTCCTGGAAACGAAAATGGAGCGAGTCGCTTATGGAAAACTGCTCGCAATGGAAATGTGAATGAAAGTAAAGAAAAGCAAATAGAGTGAGTTGGAGAACTCATTGATATGCATATTATTTTTACCGATAACAGCCAGACAAATGATAATTACCTTGGCTCCACTAATCCTGAATACCCTTTCAGCTGCCCTACCAGATATTAGAGAAAATGTCACCCGAAATTTCAAAGTGGCGTCACCGCCAACGCTATCCCAAGTATTCCATATGTACCCCAGCCGAGACTTTCTTCAAATGCTAAGCCTCTAAGCGCTCTGGTGCACTACATTCGATTACAATGTCTGTTGATTGTCTCATGATTGTCTCGCTCTCATTGTCGCGCGATCAATGTGGATGTGAATCGTGCGCTCTCGCTCGCTCACGCTGTTGCCATCTCGCGCACTCCTTCGGCAAAGATGAAAGAAATCTTTATTGGTTTTTGTAGTGATTTTAAGTGGATTTGTGGTTCGATTCTTAATGGCAAAGTACGCCGGCAGCATCAGCATCAGCAGCAGCAGCAGCGGCAGCAGCACTCATCCACCTTCACCTCCACTCCGCTCTCAGACCCATGTCTGTGGTTATATCGATTTTATTCAAATTTGTATGTTTATTTCTTCTTATGTGTAATTATGAGAATCTTTCAGATGTAGACGTAGTTCTCTTGAGTGTTTTAGGCAGTTTGGAGTTGTAATTATGGCGTTTTTATGTAGCAAATGCATTTGAAGTCTTGGGACTCGGAGTGTATCAAGCGTTTTGTGGCATTTACATGCAGTTAGTTTGCATATTGAGAGTCAAACATGCAGATGAATGAAGTGTTGAGCTGCGTGTGTCTAAAATGCTAAGCTTGGTTCTTGAATAGATATTTATAATTCCAATATCCATAACGATTTTTTCGCCATCTATGCAAACAATTTTATCATACATAGTTGTCATAGTTCGCTCAAAAATAAATTTTAAACTAATTTCAGGATTTAAAAATAAGAAAATTTATTAAAATGGAGGACTTGCTAGTTCTGTAACTACCATTATATGCAACAAATTAAGTAGTGTAGGGTATATATATTCTTGTCCAGCATCGAGAACTGAGTCGACCAGGGCACGTAGTTTGTCTGTCTATATGAACTCACCGATTTCAAACGATGAGCTCCCAATGTATCTGATTTAGAATAAAGTTTACACATATTACATACATTTAGCTTAAAAGATAACTCGCTAAAATTGGAACTTAAAAGTAGACCCAGCACAACTCAAATTCTTACGTTCTAAAATCTTTAGACTAGTCTGACAATTAGTTTTCCAAAATGCGAAACTAATGGATGCCAAAGCACAACCATTGACAGGGTATCCCGAGCCGGTTAATCTCACTTATCATAATATGCATGAAAAAAAAATTTTGAATGAAATTTTACTTATAATTTTTGCACAGCTTATTCAAATCTAGAGGGTATTATTCGGCCAGCAAGTTTTATGCTTAAATTGTTAGAGATTACAGGTTCGCCCAATTTCCGGCGGTGGAAAATTTAATGCTGCCCATAATATCTTGAACTCCATTTCTATTTGAAAATATGTGTAAAGCCCATCGAATAAAGAATCTTATGTTGGAATCAACAATTTCCGACCATGTAGTAAGAATATTAATGTCGAAAATTAAAGTTTCGTTCATTAAACCGCATTTTCCATTCAAGAGCGGTTGATACCGCGAAAAGCGTGACAAATACATTTTAACAAAGGCCAGTCCAATGTTGCATGCAACTGATTCCACTAATATTCCACAGTTGCGGGTGGAATCGCTGAAACACAGTGCTTTGAAAATACGTTTTTTTTAACCTTCTAACTTTCATCCAAAAGCGGGGGAGATTTTACGAAAATGAATTTTCACAAATATCTTTAAAAATAATTTTGAAGCTGAGCGGATGTTATTTATTACAGATGCGGATGGAATTTCAAAAATCGCAAAATTTAAAACTGATAAACCCGAAAACTAAGAGCTTCCGCAAATAAATCGTTGACCCGCATCTTACAAAAGTGTAAAATATTTCTCAAATGAATTTTCTTAAAGATCTTTGCGAATAAGCTTACACCCAAAACTTCTCCTTTTTAATCTTTGACCAGCAGTTATCATCCAAGAAGGGTAGTTTTGCGAAAAGTGCGAAACACGTTTCAAATGAATTTTCAGAAAGACCTTTAAATTTGATTTGAATTCAATCGAATGCTAAACAAAAATATTTAATACAATACAAAAATATTGAACTCGAATATTACCCACTAAATTATTTACCCCCATTTGCTCATGAATTTAAACAAGGATCTTTGAAATTTGGTTTGAGATCGATCTGATGGTAAACAAAAAAAAATTTACCTACAAACGTTTTTCGCGATTTTTCCATATTTGCGGGTGGAATTTCCCCAAAAATCCGTCTTAGCGTGCACTTTCACTACAGTGAATTTCAGCTTCCTAGCTCTTACGGGCTGTGCATTGATCACCAATTAGTTAGTCAGTCAGTCAGGACAAACAGTTTTATATATAGAGATTAAAAAGCTAATTTTTAAAGAACTTGTTAATTTGATCTTTTGTTTCCCGTTCTTTTGGCGGTTGCAACTGGTTACATTTAAATGCATGTATATATATTATAGTATTTTACTATTTTTGCTATCTACTTCCTCATGAATAGCTTCTTGAAGCAGACAAATAATTCATAGGAGCCAGCCTTCCTAAGATTTCCTTTTGCAGAAAGCGCCTAATAGATAAGAACGCGTAATAGAAAATATATTTGTCGCGACATGGGTACAAATAGGTACTCTAACTCACTTGTGAGCATGTAGATACATATATGTGCCTGTATTGCTTATCGCAGTGCAATTAAGGCTTTTGCTTAAGCGCAGCTGAAGCAATTACTCATCGCTGTGACACATGACTGCGCCGAAACTATACCACATATAAATACATATCCAAAAGCACTTGACTACAACCGAAACGCAATTGAAACGCGGCTACTTACACATTCAGCAACAACACTAAAAACACAAAACTCAATTTGAATATTTCGAGTGATAAGCAAAGAGCCTTCTTCCCCTAGCAACGAAGCAAGAACAGCAACAACAGCTAACGAGTGATATAAGCATGCTTGAGCATTTAACTGATTGTTCCAATCGGTGATTTTGTGAGAAGAACAGTGTCAGCCCATAACATTTCATTGCTCATACTCGAACAACTGCCGGGCATATTGTATGGAGGCGCGCACTTGGCTTATCAATTGCTGAAATGATGGCGGAAATGGTGCGTTATTGTTTTCGTTGTTGTTGTTGTTGTTGCTGTTGTTTAGAAATTGCTGATAATGCTTTAATTTGTATGCATTTTGTTTTATAATTAATTGGAGTCGTGACAATGTCCAATTTTATGCTGGTACAAGCCGTGTGCAGCGTGTGAAAGCCATGCAAAACAAAAGACTTAAGCAACGAACTTGCTGGGGCTCAAGCTACGCCAATGTCCTTTTCTGCCCACCCCTTTTCGCTGCTCGAATACAAACGCTTGAAAACTTGATTTGACCCTTCTGCTGGCGTCTATATTAAGCAAGGCTTTTTCTTGATCTTTGCCGGCAACACGATTGATCTCAGACGCTCTACTCTCTCCCTCTTGCCCACTCCGTCTTTGCTCGACCACACCGGCAGCAATGACAAGTTTTCGGCACGCGGGCAGACAAATTCCATGCCTTCGCTGCACCAGGAATTCAAATGTGGCTCGACTATATGTGTATGCATGTATGTGTATGTGTGTGTATGTCCATACCCAAAGCTTTTAAGTGTCTTGGCGTCGGCACGGCTTATGCCGTCTCTCTATCTGCCACAGACTCCGTCTCTCGGCGTCGTTTCACTCGTGACATTTACATTTGTGAGAGCATTGCCGGAGATATTGCCAGACGCAGTGACAATTAATAGCTGTGGAAAAATCTACATACGTTTTGATTGCTTGGCGCTGACTGTGAAAAGATGTCGCCTAATTTTCCCTTGTCTTTTACATTAATTAATTAATTACTGGCGAAATATTCTGACCAAAAATAAAAAGAAGGTGAAGAAAACTTTTGAAAGTTGTGGCTTCCACATGTGTCATAACTGTACGATTTAGATTTTTATGACTTTTGGCGCCAGCATACCGGATTAAGCATGAGAAATACCGAGATAAATTGGAAAAAGAATAATAATGTCATTGTGAGCTTTTTAACTTATCGGGCTGTTTGAAACTTTAGCTCAAGATTTACTTATTTGCTTATCGCTGAACTTATAGGCCAGCTGCTTCCTTTATACTAACGATAAATACTTTGATTTTGTTTTGTGCCTCGGAGTCCCACTTGGAATTGTTTGCCTGATAAGTGCTATATAATGGAATCGCTATGAATAACGCTAGCGTATCGTTTTTATTGGCAGCAAGCGCGATAAACGGCGCAATCTATGGGTTTATATATTGCAATGAGTATTACAAGCGATATTACATTCAATATATTGCTAAAAAACAAATTATAATCACAATAATTTAAGATCCAGATGCCAAAGAAGAGAAAAATTAAATCACTAAGAACTCGGGCAATATTTTGAGCTTGCTGCTGAAATTGAATATTATATAAAGTTACCTAATATATAATCCAAATATCATGGTTACATCTGCCTAATCCATATATTGTATATATATTATGCAATGTTTTTCTAGGGAAATCAGTTTGATTTTCTGAAATCCGCCACACAGCAAGCGACTCAGACTTATGACGCCAACCAATTTCGATTACCTCGATGTTTGAGGCCCGTGTCCAGGTCGAGTTCCTATCTGTCAACCCAATACCTCTCGTGCAATTAAACAACGCCGCGTAACGCACGACATGACTCCTGTCTGCCCCTGTCCCTGGCCCAGGCTCTGGCTCTGCGCCCTCCTCGGGTCAATGGGTCTTGGCCTCGGTGGCAACTGGGCTTCCTATTGGGTTGCCTGTTGTTGGCTATGCCATGTTCTTGCCCCGTTGACCTGCTTAGTGTGCAATTCGCACATACATATATCATAGCCTGTTAGGTTCTGCTTGTTATTTTCGTATTGCGTGCTTCATATTTTATTTTCGTTGTGCTACCTGCATTAGTTGCGAATGTGTGAGTCTCTGTGTGTGTGTAGGCTTGCAGCAATTTTAAGCGAGTGTTAAAAGTTGCATAATTACGTTTGTTGCACTTGGCTGAGGGTCGTGCAGGGTAGAGTTGCCAGATGGCTATTCAAAGGCACCTGCCATTTATTCTATTTAAAGGGTATATGTATTCATGCATTACTTTTAAGCTCCTTTTTTCAATTAAAAATCAAAATAGTTTATTACTTTGTTAAAAATTCCTAAACTCTTGAAAGAAATACTAAATCAATGATTACAAAATGTGTCTAGCAGATCTTCAATATATATATATATATGTATTTTTTTATACCCTGAACCCATTAAAAATGGGTAATCAAGGTATAATTTATTTGTGCAAATGTATGTAACAGGCAGAAGGAAGCATTTCCGACCCCATAAAGTATATATATTCTTGATCAGCAACAATAGCCGAGTCGATCTAGCCATGTCCGTCTGTTTGTCTGTCCGTCTGTCCGTATGTAATAGCGTAAGGATCTCAGAACCTATAAGAGCTAGAGACTTGAAATTTTAGCTGTAGGTCCTCCTAGTCCCCGCGCAGATCGAGTTTGTTTGCGATATTCGAAACCTCCCCCGTTTCCAAATAATCGATAAAAATCGATATCGAAATCCTTTTTTTGAGCAATTTCGGCAAATAATATGAACTAGAGTCACCGAACTTGACATGTAGCTTCTAGAATAGTATATATATTTCAAGTATTTTTCATTTTATACCTATGTTGGAAGAATACAGTTCAGGATATCCCCTAGTCGGGAGCTCCCGACTAGAACCTCTTACTTGTTTTATTATAAAGCCAAATTTTAAAATTAGCCTGGCAACTCTGTGCGCAACCCAATGACCTTTCCAGTTGCCTTGCTAAACGATTTTGGTCAAGATTTATGATGCAATTGCCCAAAAGGCAACTATTGGCTTGACCGTTGGACTTGTTTTGCCTGTTTGTCGAAAACCGATTTTAGTTTTATTGCCTTTTGGTCTCATAAAAATGTCATAAATTAAAAGGCGCTTACGCACGCACACACACACACATACACATTCGAATACGGATACATCATGCAACCTGTGCCACCGGTCACACGCAGAGTTTTGGACTGACGCTCTTTTGGCCTAGGCTGGCACAGTTTCAGTTGCCTTTTGGCCCGATTTTATGGTCAAAACACAGTTTATACTTCTAGCTAATGACTTTATTGGCCTTTTTGCAATGCACTTGAAGTGGAAACTGCTGTCATGTTGTGTCATTGTTGAGCTTATGGCAATGTTCTCTTCTCCGACCGACCCATTGAGCCTACATTGTTGACGACCGTCTGTATTGCTGGGCTTGCTGGCGCCAGCAGTTAATTGCCGGTAAGAAATGGCACTTGTCGCGCATATGCTGAGATTTGACCCCGAAGACACGAGCGAAAGTGTAGCAAGAGTTAAGAGCAAGCGTGTAATTGAGACTGGGCTAGCCCAGCTCTCTGAAGGTAACAGCTGAACGACTGCAAGTGCTTATAAAATGAAGCCAGCAATTGATGCAACTGATTAGCTTTGGAGTTACATCAACAATTGTAGATTTTGCGTAATAATAGCCTGCCTAGGTTCTAAATTATTTATGAAGCGCATTTTACAACAGCTCGGGACTATCAACAGCTTACACATTGCTCTAATTTATGTGCATATAATGAATGCCAACCCGATGTTTATGTTCAGTTAATGAATAATCATCGTGGTTTTACCTTTCCATGCTTTCTACTCGCCGGAAAGAGCAAGTTTTGCGCTTAAGTCTTTTGTTTGCTCTTGGCTTGGCTGACTGCTAGTTATCTACAGTGCAATTGTGCGAATAAATACATATCTATGTGTACGTAACTCAACTACTGTGTGTAACTGCTGAACGTAATGTGTTGAAAATTCCATGCCAACTTTCCGGTTTGACGCTGTTTCGTACTTGGCCTTAGTCCTCAAGCAATTGCTTATGAAAAAAACCCGGAGGGAAATGTAATTTGAGTATTTTGTTATCTCTGCAGCACACAGGTGATATAAACCTCTTCGAGTGCCATATTCTCATCGATACCCCTATATATGTTGCTGACAAGTTTATGGCATTGCTTACAAATATTTATATGGGAATTTATTGTATTGTTTTATCCATACTTTTTACAAAATACAATATCAACGCCAGTTGCATAAATTTGCGTTTCAATTCAATAAAAACATATAAAAAGCGAAATTAATTTGTTGTACAAGCTGCAAATGTCATAATTGACAATTGCTGCTTTGTATTCGAGAAGAATTTCAGTTTATTTATGGCTGGCTTTCAGTGAGCTTTTTATATTTATTTTATATTTAGATTCCTTAAAATTCTCATTATACTCTTACAGTTGGTATTCTAATTTAATCATGATATGTGTAACGCATTTAAAAATGTATTTGCCTGCCCATTAAAAAATTCCTTTATACAGTAAAGTCTTTAAACTGCTTGTAAGATTTGTGTACATATTTTTGTACCCTCCGGATAAAACAATTATTGTATAGCTAATTAAATTATGTATTGGTGAGTACTTTGTTCCTTACAAATATTTCCAACAGCCTTTTATTGTTAAACATATGTTATAAAAAATATATCTGTTTATCTTAAGCCCAAGTCAGCTAATATTGGAATAATAGATACAATATATAGTTAGCTGTATGTAAAACATTGTTGCTATCTGATGCCCTGTTGAATAGCTTTCTGCTGGTTAACAAGATTTTCGTTGAGATAAAATCAATTTAGCGTATACTAATTACTACATAACTTGTCTTCTAATTAATTAAAATCCCTGCAAATGTGATAAATCTTTGGCAGTCAAAATGTTGTTACTCCCAGGTAGTTTGCTTTATTCTCTGCCAGCTATTTGCCGCTTTCCTTTCTTTCAACCTTTGCCGAAGCTTCCAAACATTGATGGATAGTTGATTTCGTTAAATGCTTACAAAACGATTTGCCGTTGCTGATTTGTCAAACGCAAATTAAATATTAAACATGGCATTACGAATCTGTGACTTCTGTTTAACACTAATTGAGTTGATCTATAAACATAAACGCTTGAATTTATGCCTCATTAAACCTAATGGAAATCGCAGATTATATCTAAATTCAAAAACTTGTAGTAGCTTTGGTAGATTAGGATAGTTGCAATTAATTAATATTTTTAGACTGCTTTTATACACCAATTTCACAATAATGAGTGTCAAACAGAGCTGCATACAGTTTTTATTTGCACAGAAAAACCTATTTTATTAAATTTAGCAGAAACATATGTGTTAAATGCTTTTTAATATAAAGTGCGGAAATGGAATGAAAATGAAATGAAGAGAAGAAGCAGTGCCGTGCATATAGTACCCTGAAGGTTATATTTATGTCTTGAGACATATCTAAATTGTCAATCCCTCGAACAGGCAATTCTATTTTTCTTAACCGAATACTTTAAGTTGGGAGATTGTTAGTTATTGCTCTCCTAATTTGACTGTAAACATTAATCAACATAAGCTTTATACTTAATTTGATTAAGATTAAACTGTTTTATTTTATGAAAAGTGGCTAATATAAACTTGCCCGGTTACATCAATGCCAAAAATAATCAAAGACTTTTGTGTCATAAAAGCTCTATAAATAAATTGTCCACTTACTTGACTTTATAATGCCGAATATCTTTCCAATTGATGTCGTTGATTTGTTTTTATGATGTATGTAAATGAGGCAATTGGGTTATTATTCTTTATGGCCTTTTTGTCGTTGTTGTGGTTATACGAATTTTAATTGCTTTTAAAACGCATTTATTGTTCGACAGCAAACGTTTTGTTTGTTTGCCAAACTATACGAATTTAATTAAAATGCGAATGCATATACATTTAAACAGTTGCCGTTTTTCCAGTGCGTAACACTATGACATAAATGACACGACACTTACAGACACGACACACAGATGGAGATACAGATACCGATGCAGATACGGGTACAGATACAAGTATGTTTAGAGATACGCCGCCCAGTTTACAGATACATTTGCATAACGCTAGCGAAAATGATGGTAAACAAAAAATTAGCATAACACACACAAGCGCACACACATTAAACACACAATTAACAATAGACACACAACTGATAAACAGACACGCAAATCGCGTTGAATATTAAAAGTTTACCAAGTGCCACCGAATGGACGAGCAACAACAATAACAACAACAGCAAATTGTTGTTGCTAATACTCAATATGTCTGCCACTCAGTTAGGTTTTATAATATGTATTTAAATTTTGTTTAATTACAATTCACAATTGGCGACGGCTTTTCAACGTATTCACAATTTCACGCCGCACGCGGCATGGCTGCAATTTCGCGTAGAAACGTTCAAAAGTCAACTGAATTCAAGACTCGGGACGGCAAAGTTTTGGCACTGCTGCGCGATGTTGTTGTTTTTCTTTTGGTTGTTGTTGTTGTTGTTTTCTTATTGGAATGGGGAAGCACACGGGGCAACAAGATGGAGCGAGCGAGCGAGTGAGCGAGCGAACGAGGTCTTGGCTTGAGCTTCCGGTTGGACGTACGCTGTGAGCGCGACTGTCCGTTGTGGCTGCCAGTGGCTGCCGCAGTGGGCAAACAAACGAGTTTTTCTTTAACCTCACACAATCGCACATATACACACACACGCTATCGCACTATAGCAGTGGGTGTTGCCTTTGTGGCGTTCGCTAGTTCGGTCTCTCTCACTCCCGACTCACTTGTTAGCTCGCTCGCTTGCTCGCTCGTTCGCTCTCGCTGGCGCTCGTAATCAAATTGTAGCCATATTAAAGTTTGCTTGATTTGCTGTTTAGATATTTGTGTGCTCGCTGTGAGTGTGTGCGTGTGAGTGCAGTTGTGTTGTGGCTCTCTTGGGACTGCCCACTTTCATGCTCCGGCTTTTTTGGCTCTCGTGGCGTATGCGCAACATTTTGAAATGCGCCCGCTCGCCATAATTATAATCATTTATCATGAAACACACATTCACGGCCACACGAACGCAGCGCTCATAATCATTAATATTAAACAAATCTGTAAATTAACCATAATTCTTGCATAAAAAAGAGGCAAATGTGTTGGTATTTTATGTGCACTTTAATTGGCATTTCATTTGCAAAGCGCCGTGCCAATTGCCATTTATCGTCTTAATAGCCGCGTAATGCAACTTATGTAATGATCGTATAAGTATAATTGATAATTCTCACACCTTGTCAAGCGTAAATTAAAGTTAAGCTTTAATCAAATTGATTGTAAATAGAAATGGTTTATTTAATTTGTAAAACTTGGTGTAATTATTAATACTTAACATCAAGACATGCTGGAAACATACTTAATTTAACAAGCTTGTCGCAACTTAAGTAAACCTGATTCTATCTATCCATTTAATATTAACGTGATTTAAAGATAATCACTAGCAAATGCGCTCCTTATAAAAAAAATCGCTTATCGAGAGTTTAACCATATACTGTCTAGTAACATTAAGTCTATAGTTACTAACCGAGATTAAAGGTAATAACTAGCACTTCCTTCGATAGCCTTTGGCTAAGACAATAGAATAATCATTCCCTGGTCTCAATTTACAGCCGGTTTCCTGTTTTTTCTGTACTCAATATAAAGTATTTAAATATACATTTCTTAGTATAGGTAAAGGTCAAATATAAGAGTACCAATAATGAAGCATATTCCTATAATATGTATACAGTTATTCTGCAGACATCATTTCCCTCTGGTCGATCGTCAACTATATATCAGGTTTAAATTCATATACACTATCCGAAATGAATAACTAGGAGATTTGGGAAAGCTCTCTTCTGTGAGATATAAAAAAGTGTTCCCCTAAAGCAAAATATTGCATGAATACAATATAGTAATTTAGGTTTATTTTTACAATACCAAATAAAAATATGTTGGTATACAACAATTGAAAGGCCCGAGATACCCCATATATTATCATATCATAAATTAACTATAATTAAAGGCTTTTAAATTTAAATTACTAATTATATCCTTTAAGGAAAATTAGTAGAAAGCATAATTAGTTGAATTAAAAAGATCAAATTCCCGAAAAGGATAAACTACATCACTTTTGCCGTTTAATAAAAATGTGTTAGCTTTTGATACATTTTTATATATTCATGTGTAATCCCACATCTAGTTAATAAACAACACCATACACACCCTGGCAGCAAAAAAATTACGCTTCCTGCTTAATGAATAGCTCTTTTTCGCCTGAAAAATGTGCAATTAAGTTTAGAATTTTATATACAACAGATTGATAAATGCGTGTCGCAGCGATAAAAAAAAGCACTGGACAGAGTTGACAGTGTCCACAACAAGTTCAATTACCACAAATTAAATTTATTAAATGAAAAGAAACCCAGTGGCGATAAAACCCAATTATTTATAGGCGCAGCCAAATGTGGCTGAAAAACGAAGCAAATACAAAAGAAACAAGATGTCCAGAAAACTGCCTCATAAAAGAGACAAACGCCACACGACACCCAAAAGCGGCTACCTGTTTGAAAAGCAGCTCATTCGTAGGCGCAGGCCCGACTGTACATATGTAATTTTTATGGGAAAACTATATATAGGAAAACCTAACAAGTTCCAAATGAAATGGACTCGAAATGCGTGTGCGATACGTGGCCGGCCATAAAATGCCGCAGACATGCAACAAAATTTATGCGAAACTTTAATGAAACGCAAACGGACAGCAACGTTTCCTACAAATACAAATACACACACACTCACACACACATGTGTGGCTACGCGTGTGCCCCACACACACTTGCAAATATGCTGAGCAACTCTGGACGGGCCAATGAGCGCGTCGCGTTGCATGACTCCACCTCAAAATGGGTACCAAAAGGTTGCCCGGCGCACGCAACGGGACGAAGCGCACGAAACAAGTTTTTGTGTGGCAAGCAGCCGAAGTCCGTGCACCAGGTCCAGGGCCAGACAGGGACGACGCGGCGTCCTGCTTGATTGCCAGGCGCGATAAATGCCACGAGCGCGTGTTACCAAACTTGTGGCCAGCTCCTGTCTCTGGCTCGGGCTCTGTAACTGGAACTGGAATTGGCACTGGCACTGGGACTGGGACTGAGACTGGGGTGTGGGGCATGGCAGAAGTGGTCGCAGAAGCGACAGAGCCAAAAGTGGTAGAATTTGTAATGGTGGCCAGCGTGGCAAGCAGAAACAGAACTCAATTGCATGGCACAGGTGACGCCTAAAAGGGGCTTACATATATATAGAAAAAGCATATCTACATATTTTGCTATGAACTCCTACATTTCAATTGTAAAACATTATGCATCATTAGAAAATAATAATTAGTTGCAATTACAAATCCGTCTTTAAAAACAACATTTAATCTGATATTGAAGCTAGATAACCTTTTTAATATTAAAAAAAAACTCCTTTTAATAAACTACAAATAAAGTTTCTTGATAACAAATTAAAATAGTTCGTATACGCTATATCACTGCAACTTTGCTTGAATTTGTTAAGGATGCATTTTGCAAACCCTCTTTAAAAATCTTTTGGGCTACGCCTTTGATTTTTACGAACATGCCTCCTGTGGTGCCAAACAAGTCGCCTTTATGGCGCCCAAACAAAAAAGAAAAATGGTAAAATAAAAAAATGGGCAGTGCGGGGCTGTATACTGACTGGTTCTCTCCCTCTCCTCTTAGCATCCAGCCCGCCCGCCGAGGTTGTCGTTTCTTGACCCATAGGCCAGTGCTGCATGACAGTTTTTTAGGCTTTATCCATGGCACTGCCATTGCAATTAATTTTGGCATTTTGACATTTACGCTTTTTGTTTGGCGCTATCTCAAGCATACGCAAATACTTTTTGTTCAGGTATGCTGACGCTTGATAAGACATTTTGTGTATATCATTTGCAATGGAATTTTCTCACGTTAAGGGTTTTGCGAGTGGTTGCCCAATGCGGCGCCACTTGCCCACTTCCCAGAAGACCTTTTAATTACAAGTCGAAAAGTCCTGCCCGTCCCTCCCGTAACTTGTCTAACAACTTTGTCGACTCGGCCCAGACAACGGGCAGCATTTGAAAAATTTATGCTGTCGATAAACTAATGAAAAGACCAACAAGATACTCTAGCACTTAATTGAAGAGGAACCAAGTCATAGATTTCGAACATTTCTGCTGCTCTCACTATATTTTGCCCAGGCACTTTAGTGGTGCTTTATGAAAAGAGCCGAGTTATCTGAAACATGAAGTGGGTGCCGTACAAAGTAACGATATCAACGAGATGGCGCCTTAGCCCAACAGCTTTGTAGCTTTAATTGTTGTTGACAAATCGTGGTTGTTAATTTTGCAGCGGTGGGTCAGAAAACATTTATCAATAGTCGATTTAATGGTCGAAGCTATTTCAGCAGCAATAAATGATTATAAACTATGCGAGACTACTTAGATGCAAAAGTATATAGAGAGTTAATCAAATTTTATTGGATTAAGCTTGCAAAGGCTTTTAAAGATATTTACGGCCACATACTCCCAAAGTATCGCTCAAATCACGATTAAGCGTAAAGTTAAGTATTCTTTAATGAACCGGGGAGTGTAATATTCTGCTTTGTATCAGGGTTCTTGAGTTGGATCTACTCTAATTTATGATCTGACCAATTAATCATTCAGGACATAGGATCAAAATCATAATAGTTCAAATGATCTTCCCATGTGATCTTAAAAAACAGCCGCTTTCATATAAATGGCTACGGGAAAAGACACCTGTTGGGATCGGGGATATATAACCCTTTTTTTACTTACATTAGTACTAATTTATTAATTAATTTATTATTCAAGGGTACATATTTTGAATGCTGAATTTAATTCAAGTAAAACGAATACTTTTTGAGATGGCGTTTTTGTGATTTAATCTCAACATTCATTTTAATATTATAATACCTTTCTTACCCATTACTTGTCCAACATGATCACTTCGTAAACAAAACTTTTATGAACATAGGCGACCTTTCTATTCCGTTTAATGTTGATTATAAATATTGTTAATAGAATTAATAGAAAATAAAAATATTCATTTAGCTGGTTCGAGGTCTAGGGTTTAATTTATGAAAATCAAAAGTGAAAAATAATTTTGGGAATACAAGGATAAAACCGGTCAATAATGATTATAAACATTATAAAAGTTTGCCCCAATAATGTTAAATTGGAAGAAACAAAATGAATTCAATGATGCACGATAATGCACGACTAATTATAATGATTAATACTTGTTTAATGATGGTGATTAAAAGGTATGTACTTATCTCTTAATGAGAGAACAAGAGTATATTGTATATCAAGTTTCCACACTCCCATTGCCTCCCATTTCTACAACTAACCATTAAGAAAAGCTATATGGCAAGGTATTCGATATGTGTTAATAATAAATTTAAAACGCACAATTGAATATAACTAATTTGATAATATTTACAAAACAAGTATCGAGTTCTGCC